CCCCCATTTCTCCCCCTGCCTCTCCCAGCCATCTCGGTCTGGAATCAATTTGAATCTGGAGCTGCACAAACTCTTCAGCTTCTCCAGCGCAAGAGCAAGGGGGCGAGCGGGTCCGGCAGAGAGTCAAGGCCAGCAGGCGCTGTGCGTGGGGCAGGTTCCCTCAGGGCTCCCCAGGGAGAGAACAAGCCGGGCCGAAGTGTGTAGTGCGCAAAGTATGGTGGACCCAGAGGAGAGTGGGGGCTGAGAAGGAGGGCGGGTGGGCAGGGCAGCTCTTAGGGCTTCCTGAGATGGGTCCGCCCTCCAAGTGGCCTGGTCCCCCAGCTCCCAGCTAGCAAAGCCTCACCAGTGACAGACGCAAGGCTGTCTGTTCGCACTTTTCCAGCTGGAAGGCTCCTTTCACACAACACAGCTCCTGGCCGAACACACCCATTTCCAGCACTTGGGTCACATTTCCACAACAGGCCAAGATACATGCATGGACAGCCAGATCACACGACCTCCTCGGTTTTTAACTGACCCCTGGAAACCCACCAGGGTGGCCTGTCCTTTTACAGGATGAACAGATGTCCTGAAACGGCTTATGGGCTTTGAAGTCATCCCCAGGGACTCTTCTGCAGAGTTGCTGCTGTTGCAGGTGGGGAGGGGAGGGTGCTCTGCGTGTGCTCAGAGGTACTACTTTATTAACCTCATTTCACGGGGATGTTCTGGGACTGAACTTTACAGTACTTTGAAAGTCTGGCTTAAGGGCTGTCACAAGGCCAGCTCTAGGCAAAGATTCGGTCTGAACTTCTGCCCAGATCCCGAAGAGGCTGGGCCAACACCCCCCGGCCCCTGCAAGCTTCTTGATTAAGCAGCAAAGCGACCGCCCTTCAAAACGCCCCCCTGGAAAAAATCTCAGCCAACTTCACGGGCTCCCCACCAGCCCTGGGGCTTGTGACCACTGCTTCCAGGCCAGCCGTGCCCCTTCTGTTTCCTGCCCCGGGCCTGACCTGCAGGGCGGGGGAAGTGTGTGTGTCTGCAGCTGGCCAGGGAGATAACCCGGGTCTGGCTGTGGGGCTCACAGATTGCCTGCCTGCAGACTTTCCATAAAGTGTCTCTGGATATATTTTTCCAGCCGAGGTGGAGAAGGGTTCTGGAGAGGTGGAGGCAAAGAAGCCAATCGGTGTATTAACCATAATTAATCGAGAAAGGAAGAAAGCAAATGGCTGCAGTTATGGAATCTCTTTCCAGCAGAAGTAGGAGAAACTAATGTTTCTGAGCTCGTAGGGAGTTCGGTCAGTGCAGAAGGGGAAAGTCCCACGCCTACTCCTTTCAGAAATGAAATGCCGGTTCACTTGTAAAATCCCTGGCTTATTTTATTTTATTGGCTCCGCCAATTAGGGACTAAGAATCTGGTCTTGGGTTCAAGTCCTGGGCCTGCCACAGGGTCACCTTGCCATTCAGTCTGCACTCCAGCCCGTACGTGGGAGGTTAGATTGTACATTAAAAAAAAAATATTATTAAATATTTAACACATTTAAAATACTTAATATTAAATATTTAATTTAATTTAATATTTAAATTTAATTAAATTAATTAAATTTAATTA